ATCGTGTGGTTTAAAACAGTTCTTTCCAAGTGTCTATGAAGCTTGAAATATGTACGAAATAGTAGACAAGATTTGTAGCTCACGTTGACAATGAGTACTGTTGATGACTAATTTCGATTTGGTTAGCTTGTATTTTATTGGACAGTGAGGAGATATTGTGTACATGGTGAAGGTTGAATGGTCTTTTTCAACTACGAGATCTGCATTCTTCAGAGTTCCAGCGATAGAAGAGTTGAGGAGGAGTGGCGACGTCGTCAATCCTTTCCCCTACTCTGTCTTCGGTGATTTTGTATTGGATGTTAGAGATGTCAATAAACCTCACATGGAGACTGCTCGTTGACAGTCATTTCGAAGGGAGGTTGTTTCGAACGAATCAAATGCAGTCCTAATGTCAAGAGACTCAATGATTACTTCTCTAATATATGGATTTCGAAGACTAGACTACTGATTCAACAGCTCCTCACTAGTTCCACACGCGCTGTTTACTTCCATTTGACGTGCGAGTTCTCACCATCACGCCTTAATATTCTGATGCAAGCAGTATTGTATTTTGTTATTGGTGAGATCCTTCTCAGCTTACTGATGATGATGTGAAATCACAAGCCAGCGCCTCTGAGAAACAGTGTTCACTATGGAGACCTTATCTTAGGTGGTCCAGTATCAGCTACTAGCCTCGATTCTGTCACGGTTTAATACTTAGTCGTGAGGCTGATGATTGTGGTGCACTGTGCATTGTCGATAGAGTTAATTCCTCTATTCTAGATTCCTAGGTTGAAGGCGTGTTGATAGCTATGTACTCAAGTGGTGAAGCTCCGAATTTAGAGCTCTGTGAGACACCGACACCAGGTAAGAGAGATAATGACGCCAGAAGTCAGTGGGTAGACATGCATAGAAGAGACCTTTCGAGTTGATAGACGGAGGGGGTATTAGAATCATTCACTGGGGTTTTGTATGTTCTCGAAACGCGGTACATAAATCGTGTGGTTTAAAACAGTTCTTTCCAAGTGTCTATGAAGCTTGAAATATGTACGAAATAGTAGACAAGATTTGTAGCTCACGTTGACAATGAGTACTGTTGATGACTAATTTCGATTTGGTTAGCTTGTATTTTATTGGACAGTGAGGAGATATTGTGTACATGGTGAAGGTTGAATGATCTTTTTCTGCTACCAGATCTGCATTCTTCACAGTTCCAGCGATAGAAGAGTTGAGGAGGAATGGCGACGTCGTCAATCCTTTCCCCTACTCTGTCTTCGGTGATTTTGTATTGGATGTTAGAGATGTCAATAAACCTCACATGGAGACTGCTCGTTGACAGTCATTTCGAAGGGAGGTTGTTTCGAACGAATCAAATGCAGTCCTAATGTCAAGAGACTCAATGATTACTTCTCTAATATATGGATTTCGAAGACTAGACTACTGATTCAACAGCTCCTCACTAGTTCCACACGCGCTGTTTACTTCCATTTGACGTGCAAGTTCTCACCATCACGCCTTAATATTCTGATGCAAGCAGTATTGTATTTTGTTATTGGTGAGATCCTTCTCAGCTTACTGATGATGATGTGAAATCACAAGCCAGCGCCTCTGAGAAACAGTGTTCACTATGGAGACCTTATCTTAGGTGGTCCAGTATCAGCTACTAGCCTCGATTCTGTCACGGTTTAATACTTAGTCGTGAGGCTGATGATTGTGGTGCACTGTGCATTGTCGATAGAGTTAATTCCTCTGTTCCGGTTTCCTTGTTGTAACGCTATTATTGTGTTATGTATGGATTTTTTTATTGAATATTTCCCTATTTTTTTTTCGTGTTTTTTCCGTTCAATATATTTTTTTTTCTTTTATTTTCGCGAACAATTTGTTTTATTTATTTCAGTTATTAGAAGATTTTGGAGGATAACTTTTTGTTCCTTCTCACACCTTAGAGCTTGTTTTGCACCGTGTTGTAATTATAACGGTTATTTTATTCACAAAAATTAGCGTGATTATCCACTCACTATTTTTTGTGTTAACATCCGTATTATTGTCTTTTTCATACATTTGTTACCCTTGATAAATTTTGACAAAGAAAGGAAGACGAAATTTGCAGTATAAAATGATATCATTCTATTTCACAGGTTCTCATGAGCTGCAGACTACCTGAAATTACAATGGTTATATAGATGATAATAACATACTTTAATGTTCGAGTGGTGGTAGAAAAGAGATACTATAAAATTGACGCATCTAAATGAAAGCATTACAATGTTTTTAGTTTAAGTTTTCATCATCAATTTATACGCTTTTAAAGTTGAAAAGAGGGGGAGGGGTAAGAGAGGAAACAGAAAAAATTGATTAACAGAACAGTGTTAGCTTTTAGGTTCACATAGCAACTCAAGAAACAAAAATTTTTTTTTTGGTTACAGTTTATGAGATTAAGATTTGTTCAGTGAGTTGAGATCACTGAATTAAATGACTAATCAAAATCAAAATTCTGTTACCAAGGGAGTGAGAGGTTAATCACACTCTCTTTCTGTATGCATAAGTCTGGTTTAAGTCTTTTGATTGCGATTGCTTCGGCAAATCGTAGTAAATTTGCTGTCCTTTGTCTATTTAATATTTTGAAGGACTTAGAAATCTCAACGAGATGTCCGGTATCAATAATGTGTCTGGTAATTGCACTCTGGGAATATCTGCTTCCTTTCAGGCACAGGTTTTTGGGAATATGTTCAGAAAACCGGATAGAAGCCCTTGTTTCTGTCCTTCCAATGTACTTGCTCCCGCAAGTGCACGTGAATTCATAAACGCAGTTGGAGGTGACATCAGCAAGTTATTTATCCAGTTTTGAGTGGATTAAAGAAGGAGTGCTGCTGTATACTGTTATGGGTTTTGCTGCTGGGAAGCTTCTATTTACTGCACCTTTCAGTCTTTTGTCAATCTTTTGTGACACTGCATCTCCTTTGTATGGTAGACAGATAAACACTTTTTTTCTTTTCTACAGTTGGATGCCTTTCTTTCTCATCATTTTCTCTGCTGTACTTCTGAATAAATCCCTTAGCGTATCCATTTTCCCTTATGCATTTCTCGAAGAAAACTGATTCTCCTTCGACCCTGCTTGGTGAACATAGCTTTCTGGCTCTGTCATACAAAGTCCTCACTAATCCACGTTTATGGCTTATGGGACAAAAGCTGTTATAGTGAAGATATTATCCAGTCCAGGTTTCTTTTCTATAGATGGACTTTTCGACCGTGACTTCGTTTGTTCTTTTTACCAATTACCAGACACATTATTGATACCGGACATCTCGTTGAGATTTCTAAGTCCTTCAAAATATTAAATAGACAAAGGACAGCAAATTTACTACGATTTGCCGAAGCAATCGCAATCAAAAGACTTAAACCAGACTTATGCATACAGAAAGAGAGTGTGATTAACCTCTCACTCCCTTGGTAACAGAATTTTGATTTTGATTAGTCATTTAATTCAGTGATCTCAACTCACTGAACAAATCTTAATCTCATAAACTGTAACCATTTTTGTTTCTTGAGTTGCTATGTGAACCTAAAAGCTAACACTGTTCTGTTAATCAATTTTTTCTGTTTCCTCTCTTACCCCTCCCCCTCTTTTCAACTTTAAAAGCGTATAAATTGATGATGAAAACTTAAACTAAAAACATTGTAATGCTTTCATTTAGATGCGTCAATTTTATAGTATCTCTTTTCTACCACCACTCGAACATTAAAGTATGTTATTATCATCTATATAACCATTGTAATTTCAGGTAGTCTGCAGCTCATGAGAACCTGTGAAATAGAATGATATCATTTTATACTGCAAATTTCGTCTTCCTTTCTTTATCAAAATATTATCTTTTTCTTCCAACCTTAGTTAGTAGTGGAAAGTAGTTTTTGTTATGGTTGCGTTCTCTTAGCTGGATGGTTAATTTGCGAAGCTTTCATTGCCCTACTGGGTGACATCTTCAGCGCATACTTCAATTTTTACTGAGCTTTTAGATTTCTCCACGAGTTTATTAATCATTTCTCCTGGTGACCTTGGACGTGATTAGTTGTTTTTGTGTGTTTTCCCACCTTGTAGGTTTCTTGTATTGCTACTGATATCTATCATATCTAATGGAAAATAGTGTTTGTTTTTACCTTCGAAATCACTTTATTTGCCTCTTCAGTTGAAAATGACTGCCCCTCATTTAACAACTTTATCTAAAAGATACTCCTCATTCTGGAGACCATAAAATAATACAAGTATATCGAGAACATACACTTTCGATATCTGTTCGGTTTATTTAAGTGTAACCTCAGCACAGCTTCATGTTGATTGTCTTATATTTTTTCCCTTCACGTTCCCAGTGGAACATAGGGCTTCAAGCTAGCGGCTTGAAGTTTCCGTAGCAGTGTTTATTTTTACAGGATGGGGTTGCTAGCCTCATGCCGAACCTTTCCTCTTTACCAGCATTATTTCTGGTTTGGCGAGGTAAAGGAGTGCATCAGCCGGTCCATGTGCATGGTCGGCGAGAGTCCTAACCGCTATGCCACTGACACGCGTCTTGTCTTGACAACTTACAATAATATCGTTTTAGTTAGGCACATGATGTTGTTCCACACTCAGCAGGTAGACCTCGGTGTATTCAAGCACACTGATTATCATTCAGCAATCATTTTGCTAGTAGAGCTACCTCGCGATTTACTACTCATGAGATGTATTGGACAGATTAGAATAGATCCATGCAATTATGTTTTTGCTCTTATTTCACTTGTAAAATACAGGGAAATTTATTTGTTACGATATGGCATGCAGGTCTCGCATCTAGACTATACTTGTTTATATACAGTGTTATCCGACTGGGTTATAATAAAAGCAAATGTACACTAAATTTTTTATGTTTTTAAACATATCATCATCGTATCTCTAAATACATGAGAGTTGACTACTATTAAGTATAAGCGCATTATGTCATAAATTAGCTGACTTTTAAATTAAATTTTGATTTCTGGTGTTTCATTTCAGCATTTTATATTAATTTCTGCAAATATTTTGCAACCTGTTTTTGTAACTTTTGAGCTTTGACTATAAAAAATGACTGAGAAATCATCCGTCATTCATTCTATAGAATCAGTGACTAAATCAACTACTTAGACCTGTTAGGCATAGCTATTGTCTTCATTGATACGCGTTTTGAATTTCACTTCACTGAAATCACTTTATTGTTCATTAATACTGGTCGTTGATATTCCCAATAACTTATTTCTTACTGATAAACACTTTTTCAATTTATGTAGATAAGTTTGAAAATTACGTATTTATATTAACGCAGGGTATTTTGTCATGCTGTAATTAAGAGAAAAAGTATAAATTTTAAAGACAGGTTTAAACAATAAACCTTTATGTAGTTAGGTGGAACAGAATATTCTCAGTATTAAATGCATGTCTGTTTCCAGTGTGGTTTGCAGCAAGCACTGTAATAATTCATTTTTAACACATAATTTGGCTAAGTTAATTAACGAAGAAATGAGAGAATTGGAAATGAGAAATGTGTATCAAGACAGACTATGTAAGGGAATAATGTCGCATATGAGGTAGTAGTAAACTTTAAATGTAAATGCATTGATATTTGCTATGTTAAAATTTACAAAACAATCTAGATTATTTCATTTCAATACTTCATATTCACTGATTGAATAAATGTCGTGTATTTAAACAGCTATTTGTATGTACTGCGTCAATGTTGTAATAACATTAACTTTAATTCCCATCGAAAAGGAAAACAATGAAGTAATTATTATGATGACGATAAATAATGTAATAACGAATGTCATCATAAATGTATTACTAAAACAAAAAAACATGGACAGTCCATGAATAATAAATGACAATTTCTGTCAGTGTGCACTTGCTCTCTGTATGTGCGTGTGTGTTCAATTTACTTTCAGAAGAAATTTATACGTTTTATGAATAGGAACGATACTTCATTAAAATACGTTCCTCACAAATTTGTTGTCAGAATAACAAAAAATTGTATAACGTGTTATTATTACTATTATTATTAATAATAATTAACTGATTAATCCTCATTCGGAAATAAACTACATGTATCTTTTCACTGATAGTAAGTAGTTGTTCAAGTGTCATTAGACATTTTGTTTTAGAAAACCTCCACAGTTTGATGCTTTCTCAATGTGATAAGTATGTAATTGTAAACAGTCTTTCATTTGTTTGTACATAAATGACTGCAAATTTAAAGTCAACTTCTACCATTAGTATTTTGTACCAATAAAATAATATTTCACTTTGACTTTTTGACCTGAATTTATTGATTTGAATAGAAGGATGAAAAGATATTTTGATAAGCTGCATGATGTGAGGCATCCTTGTCAGATGGGTAATATACATTAGCATCTCTAGAATTATGTAGGTTAGAAGCTGATGGTTGTTTGATAGGCCTGACACTGGATAGAATTTTTGTGGATGACCTCATCTTTTCTGGCTGATAAGGCATAGAAGGAGATTTTATGCGATTTTGCTGGCCCAGCGGGTTATTCAACCCATAATAGTCTGTCGCCAAACGTAACCTTTGTACTCGACGAGTCCTTTTCAACTCTTCATTATTATCAACATTATTGGTGTCACATGATTCCCGGGCAGCACGACGCACAAATTTCATCAACCGTCTTCTCCATGATTCACGCCATGGTAATATTACACTGTGAGTATCTAGTAGTAATTCCATTCGATCACCGTATGGAATCTAAACAATTCAAAATAAAGGCACGATTGTTATGATTTGATATACAATTTGAACAAGTAAATTCAATAAACTGAAAAAACCACTTATATATTATGCGTTTGCATATGTACGCTGAAATGTGGGTATGACCTTAAGATGTATAAATATAATTTTCAAGCAAAGCAAAAGTATAAATACTTTTATAGGTCGATACAGTCATTTATATGTAAGCAATAGAAGTTCAATCGTTTGCATAGAAACACTCATTTCTTTTAGTGATATCAATAACTAGTATATCTGTTGTATGAATATATAACATATTTAACTACACTGTTAGCTGACCATATAAAAATGGATTTGCACAAATTCAAACGACTAAACATTTGTGAAAGAGTAAATTTACTCTTGTTTAGATAAATGTCTGGATAACTTTTTCCAGAATCCACATCATAAGAGAAGGTTAATTTTGTTCATACATTCATAATTTGTGGTTCCGTTGGCTTTCTGTTTCCAGGATGCGCAGTACACTATACAAATCAGCAGCAGTGTAAATGTAAGTCTATTACTAATATACTGCTGTTAGTGATAAGCATGAATAAATGATATCTATAAACATAAGCTTTTTGAGTAAATTTAGATTAACAACACATGGAACAAAATAAAACGGATCCATTTAATTTCATAGGTATCTTATAAACTGTATTATTATTGCTCCCTTGGTTTCCTAGTGGAACATAGGGTTATAAACTGTATACAACCTGAATAATCAAAGTTAATAGTTTCATTACAATCCTAACATTCTTTGATATATTGGAGACAAAATGTCAACAGTAAGAATGGCAATGGTGTATAAGAGAATTCCTTTAAAATAATAAACGAACAAGAGATCTTAAATTTCTTAAAGTCCTCAGAGTCCGTCTCTATGATCAGATTAAAACGTGACTTGTGTATCCAGAAAGAAGCTGTAGTATGTCTCTATCTACCTTGGTAACTCATCTCTTAGCCCTAATTGACTATATCATCCTTTATTTAAAGTAAATATTGATTTCTTTTCACTTTTACTTAGTGACATTTATTTATTAGATGCCATGCTTTAAATGTCTGATATCTAAGTCAGAGTAGTTTACAGTGTATTTTTTCACATTTCATTTGTTCGTCAACAATTTTCTAATGACTACCGGAATCTCATAATTTATGTGCCTTAATATCTTGTTGCTACCCTTGCTCCCCACATCTTTGTTCGATTTGAGGAACTTCGATCACATTACATATATATATATATATATATATATATATATATATATATATATATATATATATATATATAGGTAGGTTGAATTTCGAACAGAAATAGGATGTAGGCAGACTTCAATACACCACGAATATTGACATATGATGAAATATTCCTTATCTATATTTCTTAAATGAAAGACATACATTAATAACAATAGGTACAACGTTTGTACAGACCTACCCTCTAATTATCGCCCAGCATTTTCAAACAGTAGTCACTAACACCTTCAAAAACCTAGTTAGTACTCCAACGCGCTTTCACCTAGATCAGACGGAAGCCTAGTCATTTCATTTACCATTACTATGTCATGGCACCATATATTCAGCCACCTTTCGGTATGACTACGTGAAAAGTATTTGTCTGTAGAGCATTTCTTGACCGCCTGAGTTTAGATTCAAAGCTATTGTAACTGAGAAGCTGTTTCATCTTAGTTTAGAGACTCTATCCAATGAGCATTCAGAATTTCATCTGCTCTAAAGCCCAAGAACGATCAGATATGTGATGAATACTGGAAAGTTAAGATTTCGGTCTAGAACTGAGGACGTGGCACAGTGTTTTAACTGGTCGACTTTTAGCTGATGGGTCTCGGGTTCGAATCCTGCCCCGCTTAATTCAGCCTGAGCAACTGGACGATGACATCAGCTCCCACACAATAAGTATGGCTTATAGCCTGGTGTATGAATAATCAGTTAGGAGTAGATGAGTTCTGAATGACTAATCTACACTTTCTAGTTTCACTTACTATTCACAGGTGGCTGCTGGATTCTATAAATATTTAAAATACACTTAACAGTTTTTTTTTCGAGAGCACCAAATCTTAAACGAATTTTAAAATAATCCAAATAATTTGTTTTATCCAGTCAACAAAACTTGAGATAAAATTTAGGAATTGCATCAATTCTGTATTCCCTGGTAGTGATATCTCATTAAATCTGTTTCTTTTAGTTGACACTATACTACACCGTTATCTCAACGTGGTACTTAATTTCCTCTTTGATATAAGTAATGCGATTAAAATGTATACGAATGTGCAGATGTCTATCTCCATGCTGTAGATTTATAGGTTCTGATGTTCTTCACAAAAAGGACCTGATATTCTCACTTCTTGTTCTGAATACAACTATTTCTCCTACAATTTGTTAGATTTTACACATATTTCTCAATTAACACCACACTATTTAAAGTTAGAAGTAATTAAGCGATCCCCACTCATTTCTGGGTTATTTCATCAGAGTAATCCCAGTAACAACAGCTCAAGGTTGTTTTCCACCGCATCTTCTGAAAGCGTTTGACTACAAATTCCATAATACTAGGGATTTGGTTCCCTATAACTGTAGTTGTTTTTACACAGCGAGTTTGTTAAAGGTTACTTTTCATCACACTACTTCTAGCTGTCATTGTCGTTGTTACAACTTAATCTTCATAAACACAAATTATAGTCCAGTTTTTAGGGCTCTGAGTTTCACTCCGAACTTATTTCCCAATGTCACAACTCATTTAATAGTAGTGAGTAACTGTGACTAACACTTATACTGTTCTCGGTTTAAACAGGTGTTCTCTTTCTATAATTGATAAAGATAGTCAGAATAATCTTCCTCTCATCAAATAAAGCTCCTCTGTTTGTTTAATTTGTGCATGATTACGAATTTACCTGTTGTGTAAGAAGATAATTATTGTTAAACTGCCAATAGTTTAGTAATTTCTAGATACAGACTATTCGTGAAACCGTTAAAATATTCAGTGTTACAATGACTACCCACATTATACTAACTATAAGAAGTATTAGTTGGGCTTTTATCAAACATGCACTTCAGCGTATATGTTAAAAAATGTGACAAGTGATTCCTGTGTAGACACGTGTCATGAATGTCAAGTGCATTTTGCCAGCAAAAATGAAACTATGTGCTTGTTGTGTGGCTACAGCAGTGGTGGTAATGGCAGTTAGGCTAATGAGACAAATATGGACAGATAGTTGTTCGGTATAATTTATATCTCTTGTCCGACTTCTAAACTTCAATTTTATTGCTGTTACTCATAGGTCTTTGAGAACACATTAAAAAGTTTCCAGAAAGGAATAAGAGAATCGCCTAGTTAACTAGCTAGCCAGTTTTCTAGCCCGTCCCAAGCCCAGGTAAAGAGGGAGGCTTTGGAGTGTGGTTAACAACCCTACACCACTAAACATATCAAAGTGCTACAGGAATTTCAACGCAAAGAAAATGTAGTAAAAGTACAAAAACTCGAAATAACGATCTTATTCTCCTCTCGAGTCGGTTAGGCGAAATGACACAGCAGGCTGGTGAAAGCCAGCCTGTGGGAAGGAATTAGGAAGAGAACTTATCATGGGTCAAGAGGCTCTGACTTGAAGAAATGAATGAGAAAGGATAATTACTGGTGGACTTCGCTTTCGGTGATTTGGTGATTGAAGGGAGCACGCACAAGTAAAAGGATAAACACAAGGCCAGCGATACGGAATTCGCCTGACGGAGACAAACCAGATAAATTTCATTTCACTGCTTCTTCTCAAGGAAGTGGAGACTCAGTCAGCCTGATGAAAACAAAGTTGAGAAAGGGGGCAGATGTGGGCTCAGATCAACACCTAGTTCAAGGGACCTTGAAGGTGAAGCTGAAGTGTCTTAAAACAAATAGAGACAGACCATTGTATTTCAAGTTCAATATTCAGAAACTGAAGGACAGAAATACAAGGGATGTCTGCCTTCACTACATATCAGATCAGAGCAAAGTCGGGGACATCACATGGTATCACTGAGGTAGCCTGCATGGAAGAACATTGAAACTCTCTGATGTAGGCGATATTCAAGGAAACATGGAAGACTGTTCTAGGAAGAAGGAAGAGACACGACAAGGAATGGCTGGCTCTCAACGGACATCTACATGGAAGCTAATCAAAGAGAGGAGAGGAGAAGAGAGTAGAGGAGGATGATGAAAGAGATGACTCAATGCAAAAATGGACAACAGGAGAAGGAGAAGCTGATTTCAATGTACACTGCACTGAATAAGGACAGGAGTGAAGAAGAGTATTGGGAAATACGAAAGACAATTGTACGACACACTTACCGGCAGCTAAAGCAAAACAAGCAGACAGTAGGTGAAAGATATCTCAGAACATTACATCAGATAACCGTGTCACTCGCTATCCGAGAGGAGATTAACTCAGATGATGAAACCCATGAAGGATGCTCAAGGGAACCTGATCACCAAGGAGGAGAAACAAATCAAACAATGAGACGATCAGTTCAAAGGATTATTGAATCGACTACCACCCGCAAATCCCCCAGAAATACCACCAACAACAACAACAACAACATAACGCACACAACTGCCTATCAGTGGACACCACTCTTCCAACGAAAGCAGAAATCCCGAATGTGATCAAGCTACTGAATTCCGACAGAGGGGGACAGCAGGACCAGACGGAATTCCCTCCAAAACATTGAAAACGGACCAAGAGATTACGGCAGATGTGCTCACAACATTAATGCAAAAGGTTTGGAAAGAAGGAAAGGTGTCTACTGACTGGAAGAAACGCTACTTCGTCAAGTTGCCAAAGAAAGGCGACATATTTAGGCGTGTGCAAGAACTGACTGGAGTGGAATAGTGCTTTTGTCCACGCCAGGTAAAACGCCGAATCGCATTATCCCGGAGAGAATAAAGAATGCACTGGATACAGAAATCCGCCAGCCGCACAGTAACAAGCTGGCTAGATTCGGGAAAGGCAAATCATGTGCCGATCAAATGACAACTCTACGCATCGCCATCACAGAACAAAGCATAGAATGGCGGTTAAACTCTTCCATACCTCAACTTCTTCGACTTCGAAAAGGTCTTCGACGGACAGAGTTGACTGGGAAGTAATTCGTAAACTGTTTCACACTACGGCGTGCGGTTCCCAAATCTCTGTCAATCTCATTCAACAGCTGGCTATATGACAATACCACGAGTTAGTCAGGCGATCCGCAATGGGAAACTCAGCGAGTCGTTCGAAGTTCATACAGGAGAAAGACATAGTTGCCTGCTAGGACGTTCTCCTCTCCCCAAAATATCTTTTCATCAAGTTGCGGCATGACGCCCACCCAAATATATGCTGTTCACTGATTGACCATAACTATCAGCAGAAAATCGAACGATGCTTGTGTTTTCGCCCAACTTTCGTGATAACCTTAGTGAAGGGTTTACAATTTAACATTTATAAGAACCTGTTCCGATTACTTGTACAATAATCCAACAATTTGAACTCTTGAAAAATTATTAATGTATGGTACTCCACGATTGTAATTTATGGCATAACTGACTGTGCCTGTATAACTGGCACGCATTTCTTGTAAACACCAGTTTATACGAAATATACATTATTAATATTATTAAACTATCATTGTTATCACGCATGATGATATTCTCAACTGTGGTGCACTGGATTATGCGTCAGTCAGTGCTTGGGAGTGGGGAGTCAGGAATACACTGGATCGCCGATAAGAAGACTCCAGAAGATCTGGATTCCGCGTGAGGATGACATATGTCTAATGTCAAACAAACTCAAAGAATTACGGGCAGGCGGCATAAAACCAACAAACTGGCGAAGAAAAAAGGACTGCAGGTGAACACAGACAACACGCGGGTAATGAAGATAACTACAAGCAGTCGAAACGGATGAAGATGTGAAAACCAGCTAGCCAGCCAGAATCGGAAAGACTAGATATGCACGCCTTTATCAACCTGAAATCAGTTTGGAAATCCCCTACACACTCAGCAGCATAAGGAACAAGATTCGGATTTCCAACACCAATGTTATGTCAGTCAGTCAGTCAGTTTTTCTTCTATACACGTCAGAAACTTGCACTGTGTATCACGAGGAGGATTCCCAACAGCCTGGTGCAGCATTTCATCAACAGCTGCCACCTTTACTGGCTGCCTCAATACTGAAGATCAAATAGCCAGCCGGACAGAAAGAATTAACAACAAGAAACTCTGGCTGGGACGGAACGAACCAAGAGCCGGTCGCTCACCAAATAAGTAGGAGGAAGTGGAGATGGATTATGTATACATTAAGGAGGCCACCAAATGACATCGCGCGCAATGCAGGCCGTTGCTCGATAGGAATCTTAGTGGGAAGGGACGAGTGGGTCGTCAGTGTGAGGGTGACATGGAGGTGATCGTGCGAAGAGGAGATGAGGGATTATGGGGAATTTTCAATCCAGGTGAAGAGGACGGCAGAAAACATAACAAAGTGGAGATGTGTTGTTGAAGCCCTATATTTCACTCAGAACCCTAGGGAATAATAGTAAAATATTTAAGTGTGACACTTTGTTTTCCATTTGGAATCTTCACTTTATTATTTTAAATATCAACCATTTCTTCGTAGTCATATAGATATGAAAGTCTAATTTTGTGGTATATCGAATTACTAGAGTTTCCCTTTCCCTAATAAACTATATTACTTTTTTGTTGAAGACAAATTTTTCACTTTTACCACCTTTCGAGAGTGCTTTATGCTTTAAATTCAACTCAAAAAATAACAATTATCAATGATTTACCTGGTGTGAACGTGTTATGAACAGGTATGATTGACCAACTTGAAGATTTGGACATGCACAACGTGTATGACGTTTATCTGTAGGATTAGTTTTAAGCCTTACCCAAACACGATAGGCTGGTAGATTTGGGGAGGCGGTTTTCGGTAATAAGTGCTCTGCTGCTCCAATTATACGCCAAGTGTTTTGAATTCCAACTTCAAGACGCATTAAATCTCCGTGAATTTCACGGGATTTGATAATACCACGAAACACTATTTTGTTTAGAAAAGGAATGTGTTAATTGATTGTATTTTAAAACTTTTGGGAATTTCTCACTATTTTACGGTGAAATAATTCTGTCATAGTGAACACCAATGCAAACTTACGCATGTAACCTGGTCTCTTTACTATTTTCGATAAATTGCTTAGTTTCTTTTAAAAGATATTTGGTTATAATACCTAGGTTCTGTAGAATGTCAGTTTATTCACCTGTTAAATATAACACACAACTTATACGCTGATAACCATATATTTTCGACCCCTTAAAATATCAATTTCACTGAGGCTTGCATCACTACCTCAGTTCTCGTGAGTATTACTCACCCAGCCACACTGTCGACTATCAAGATCTGTAGACTGTTCGGTAAAATTCAGTCAAATTATTATTATTAGTTAGCGTCAACATTATGCACCATTACAGATAGGTTAAATTCTAGGCTAAATAGCTCCTACGTAATGAAACAGAAGCTAGGGAAAAATGAAAAAATTATTAGTTTTGATATAACCAGTCTATATACTAAAATTCTTACTAATACAGCTCTGGAGGCAGTCGGGAATGAAATGAACATGGATCCTAAACTCAAAAGAAGGACTAAGCTTTCGGCTGATGAAATTACATTAGGTGTTCAATTATTTCTAACCTCCACTGTACTCGAATTTCAAAACAAACTATATCAACACAAGAATGGGTTGGCAGTATGATCACCAATATCTCCAATAGTAGCAGAGATATTTATGAACAGTTCTTAGTTCTTAGAACTATTAATCCTACTCCTAGGTTGTAGTGGAGTAATGATGTTTTGTAAACTATGTTATTGATGTATTAATGAATGATTTATTAAAGGTAGAGTCATATAAGTGTAGTTATGAAGTAACGTTGATAGGTGCATAACTCAGAGGGTCACTGGGCTTAGTAGGCACCTATAAATCCATTTGCAAAGTGTCAGAATATCACACACAAGAGAAAACTTCATACAACACTTGAATGGATTTCGGGATGATATAAAGGAATATTTTTGGTTTAGTGTGCCATGATAAAATACGAAGGTAAATTTTTAAACTGATAAGTTGTGTTACAACATCTGTTACCCCAATGAGGACTTACACAATTCCGTAGAAATCACAACCATCAGTGGACTTGTCTGTTGGATGAAGTGATTTTCCCTTTTGCTTAACAAGCTAGTACACTGAAGATCATGAACAGCACCTCAACATCCACTAGTTTTTCTAATTAGTACATTTTTCAAGAATTTAATCGCTTAGTTCTTGCATACTGGGACTGAAAACACTTTTGGCTGTTCCGTATCACACAGTGAAACAGTATTATTTACTGAATGACCTTTCGGACACAATGTATAGTTCATAATACTATCAACTGTATCCACACAATTTGAAAATTTGATTTCTACAGTTTTCTTTCATTGTTCCCGGTAGTCTCAAGGGCGGCAGAATTTTTCATATATTCAGGACATGAGCTGAATTATCTCTATTGCATTTAATTTGATAAGGAAAACTTCATTAGCCAGTCAGTCCTTTTGCCCTATTACATTAAATTTCTGACTGTCACTTTATCCCATTTTATCAAGTAGTGGTGTATGACTTCATGTAGTGCTTTAGTTAATCTACTGAGAAATAAATATGGAAACGTACCAAATGGAATCCAGATCTGAATAAATGACAACTACAATGATAACTGAAACAAAACTTACCCGCTTCACAACGACAAAACTTCTTAAACCGTATTCTCTTTTTACTTTTCTCACATGAAGGACATTTGGGACCTGAGTCAAATTGAATAGATAATCCAAGGTTACAACGTCCATTTACATACAGAAGAGATAAATACATCATTATAATGAGAACTCTTAATAGAAATATTTGGTATTCTTTGTTTCCCCTATTTTATAAAATAGTCTGGCAAATAATGAATTATTGTTGAATTACCACAGTTGCGTAATAAAAAACCTGATATCTTGAGCATAGGTTTATGCGCTTATCATCTCTCACCATCCAGGTGGGAGGTATCCGTATTCTGACTGAGTGACTGACTGACTGACTGACTGACTGACTACAATAGTAGAATTGCGTTCCAAAGGCGTTGAAGGAACAATAGCTCATTGATGAAGGCGAGTACTAACAATCTGATCGTACAAATCAACAACTACTTAGAGTACGCCGATATCGGAATGGTTCATATTCTAGCATATCCTCAGTATTTGATAACAGCAGACCCACATTAATCATTGTAAATATTTTCTTCTTCAATTGGTTAAGGATCCGTGAGGTATAATTAATTACTACTCATTAGTCCCATCATCACATTTATGAACAAAAAGTCTCAAGTGCTTTTTGGACATTTTCCCTAATACTTGGCTGTATGACTTATTTCATCTTTACATTTCCTGTTTCTAAATAAGCGCGTATCAGAATAAATGCAACAGATCTTCTTACTTTAGACAAGTAATCAATCCTCACGATTAGTAGAACACGATGTTATTCATTCTTCCTCAGCTGAATGTGTTCTTTCTCCTTAAGAAAGATGTAAATATACTTCATTCCTAGGCCTATAACCAATGAATAATGTAACAGTACAGACAATAATTGATACACTCCGAAACAGTGTAGGTTTATTAAGTGAAAACTGTGCAGTCTCTTGGTATCAGCTTCTCCGATATCACTGTAATAATAATAATCATTTTTCCTTCACGTTCCCAGCGGAACATAGGGCTTCAAGCTAGTGACTTGAAGTTTCTGTAGCAGTGTTTAATTTTACAGGATGGGGTTGCTAGCCCCATGCCTAACCTTTCCTCTTCACCACCTTTACTTCTGGCTGAGTGAGGTAAAGGAGTGCGCCGGCCGGGGATCGAACCCCGGACCATAAGCATGGTCGGTGAGCATCCTAACCGCTGCGCCACCGACGATATCACTGTAAAAGTGATGAATGTATCATGTACAACAACTTTATTTCTAATCAGCGAATTAATTTACTGAACATGAAAGAAAGCGGGATTTGAAGAAATAGTAAAACTGTGTTAGGGTAAGTGTGAAGTTACCTTTACGAATAAATTATTCTACTGTCAACGCCAAGAATCTTAAGACTGAACATAAAAAGTTCACTCATATTTTACTGAGTACGTTTATACTACTTAAACATGATAACTAGTATTATTTATTCATTGAAGTTAATTTCGTACTTCCCGTTGGTTGATTTATATTCGACCGAAATGTTCTGTCTCTGTTGACAGACTCTGAGACGATGCCTGGCAACGTCGTGATAATATGTAGTATGGTATTTCACCCATAATTTCACGCTAATTGACTTGGGTTAAGCGAAACCAAACACTGAAACAGAATAACATATCACTGGTTCTCGTCAGTTCTCCTCAGCTGTGTGCAACAGATGGGATTTATTGCATTCTGTTATATACAAATGTTTAGCTCACTTTAACTCGTACGACAGAAGTTGATTATGTCAGTGAGTACATATATTATGTGCAATTTCGCCACTCCGTAAAATGAAACGAAAATGTTAGTTTAGTGTGTGCTCTTTTCTTAACATTAATCCTGAAAATATATTTTTCTGCTAACTTCACCTAATTCGCAATAAAATTCCCCTATGAACTAAAAGGTAATGAAATTTAATTCACAAAGTAGCTAGAATTATCACACTGCAGATGTCATTTGTTACTTCAAATGCTGCAGAAATGAGTCTCTTCCCAGGTAGTAGTGAACTTAGGCAAACTTATTGGATTTATAATGCTACATCAGTTTTGGTATAAGACAAATGAGTGTACAAGTTTGGGTTCAATAGTCACACGGAAGACTGAAGGCAAAAGTCTATGAGTGATTAAATTAAAAAGCGTCAAGAAAACTTTGTTTGTGAATCACTCACCTCTTGGGACTTAATATTTACGATTTCATCTCCTTATAACTAAGCAAGTCTTTTATGTGTTAACCATATTCTGTTCAGTGACATGCGTATACATACATTCGTTACCTCAAAGGTCATACGATCATCACCTTCATTTACAGTGTCAACACTCACCGTTCGTGTCACATGGTACAGGCAACTATTATATTATTATTATATCCTTTAATTCCTAGAGGAACATAGGGCTTCAGCTGCGCGTCTCCATTGCCTTCGGTCTTCTGCCAACTTTTTCACCCCTCTCCAAGTCTGCTCACAAGCTTTCATCTCCTCTTCACATGACCTCCTCTAAGTCACCCTCATACTGACGACCAACTCACCGCTTCCCTTTCGGGTTCCACTCGAGCGATGGTTTGTCTAGTGATGTCACCTGATGGTTTCCTCAGAGTATGGCCAGCCAATCCATCTCCATTTCTTCCTCTCTATTTGTTTCACAATCGGTTCCTGGTTGGTTCGTTCGCAGAGATCCCTCCCTGTTTCCGATCTTTTCTGGCCATGTGATCTTGAGCATTGAGCAAAGGCAGCTGTTGATGAATGTCTGTAGTTTGGTTGTGAGGCTCTTTATGACGCTCTGGCCAAGACTGTGATCCGTATAGTAGCACTGACTTCACAGTGGAGTTGAAAATCCGGATGTTATTTTTGATGCTGAGTGCTGTTGACCTCCACACAGACTTGAGAGTAATGAAAGCTTGTCTTACTTTTCCGATTCTGGCTTTGATATCCTCGTCAGTTCCGTCCTCCTGTAGTTGAAACGACGCCTCTCAGGTAGGTAGGTAAAGGAGGTTGTTTCTTTCAAGTTCCTCCCCATTTATGCTGATTGTCGTCTGTTATTGTTGTTGTTGCTGTTGCTGTTGGTGTTGGCCAGGAATCTTCATCACCTCTGTTCACCTGAAGTCCTATCTTTGATGCTTCTTCTGTCAGCTTGTTGCTTTTCACTTTCATATCTTCCAATTTGTGGAAAATCAGACATATATCATCGGTGAAGTTCAGATCCTCCAAGTTTTTCGTGTGAGTCCATTTTATGCCTGTTTCCTCATTGCCCGTTGTTTAGCATCTTGATTGCATTCAGGACTTCTGATTTCGTCGGCGGGTCGATGTTCACTGGATACAGGCGATTAAGTGTAGTTTACTCACAATTTCACTAACTTCAAAATTAACCAGATTAAAAATATGAGCGTTTGGTTACTTTTTTTGACTTCAGTTTTTTTAATCTACGTTAAGTAAGAAACGTTATCACTTCCATCTGTAATAGTGATTTACCTAACATAGAAATATGTTGCTTAATTTGACTGATCATCAAATTCTTAATGTTAACTGAATGCTAATCATTAAGTTCATCACGAATTCAATAGATTGACAGTTATATCTTTAGCTTATTCTGTAGATGATATGTATTGAAATTTCCGTGGAGACTTCAAATCTTTCAAAGTTACAGATATGTCTTGTTGATTAATACCGGTAAACATAAACCCAGGTCATGTATTTTCTCTACGCTACTTTCAATTGGTCACTATCATTTAAAATTGCACAGTGATGACAAGACCACGTGACAGGTGTGAATGAGTTGAAATCTATTTCGGTAACATTTGAGTGAAACTACGATCTAAGAAATATATATGAGACGCCTACCCTTCAGTGGCCAACCAAAGTAACAAATTAATAGAATATTTTCCACTTGATTAATTCAGTTTCTTGTCATCTGGTAACCCAGTCATTGTGAAATGTTCAAGAGAACAGAAAGTCGCCTGCATACTAAAGTGGTGCATATTAGTGAATAATTGAAAGATAAATAATTTGATTCTGTAGTTTGTGGTCAGGAAAATAATTTGTCAATTGAGGAAACACTTCTCTGAACATAACTCTAAAAGTATTTTTAGCACTTACTTGGTTCTGGTTTCATTTGTTCAGATTTAACAGGAAGAGCTGAACCAACGAAAATGCAAAAAAAAGGGCAATATAATTAACACAGAAGCAAATTTAATCATACTGTTGTTAGTTATTATTTTCCTTCTGGAAGATTGTCACAGTGAATGAGCACTTTTTATATAAAATCTTGGATTTAATTGATTTAAAACCGAACTCTAAGGTTGACTACAGGTATGCACACTGATAAGAAGAAAATTTTGGCGACAGAATAACTTGAAAGAATTAAACCAGTCAAACGGCTATATTGATTTCCTCATACATTCAACAAGCGATATAGTCTGATAATTAACAACAAATGTAAACGGAAAACTTTACTCACCCTATCCTATTTGAAAGTCTAGATGAGAGCGTGAATGTTATAATCCAACACTAAATATCTACTTACAAAAAATCAATAGATAACATGTCTAAACAATCTGTGTCGTTTCAGTCTTCGGATGAATTATGAAACATTAACCTTCTAACGCTCAATAAATTCTTGAAGCCAGTTTATAATTTAGAATGTATTACTTTTATCCTACAATTCAACTTCAGTAGTCTTTCTTTTCAGTATACTAACTAAGAGATATAAATATTTTATTTTTTTATTTTTGGTAACAGCTTGATTCCACACTGTATTTTTGGTACAAGTATGGAATTTTCAGCGTGGATATCGGTAGCATAAATTTCGCAGGCCGATCATAGATATCTGGTGTGCGCCGGTGTGGGCTCGAACCCCGGACCATGTACATGGTCGTCGAGAGTCCTAACCACTGTGCCACCGACGCACAGGAAGCATTCATTTGGAAGCGTAGTGAACGTAGGGATTGTCAAATATAGCGCACACTTCAGATGACGTCTTCCACACAAAATTAACTCGCATTTTACAAGAACTGAATATTTTTGATAGTTAACATGCAGTGAAAGATACCTGAGACAAATCTCAATTTACTTAAAAAAAGAAAGATTTTCGAAGCTCACTATGATTCTTAGAATTTTTGAAATTCATTTTGGTTATCTAACACCATTCTACTGCTCATTATTCCCAAAGAAAATACAGGTACTAATTATGATTTGCAGTCTTCATCACAGCATGCTAGTAGCAATGCTGAATATTCTTTTAGTGGAAATGGAAACTAAAAGGGTCTGCATTACAATCGGTAAGACACTTAAAATGATCGTGTTTTTATAGTCTCAGTAAGTGATTTACATGCTTCTTTAGATATGTTAAAAACGCACAATATCTAAGAAGTCTCACAAAGATGTCTCAGGCTTTAACCATCATAAAAAGACAAACTGAGTCAGCATGCAATGTTTCCTTACATAACGTGATAAGTGACTAATGTGAAAGTTTTCTTTATTTTTGGGACATAAAATGCTCATGTTTCATTTGTCTTTCATGATATTAACGTTACACTGCATTTTGAATAAACCCTCAAGAACTTATGGAATTCATTTTATTGTCCAATTTATACAAGACTATCTCTGCCTTCAGTAGCCATTGAAGTGTAACCAGAGTCATGCTGGTTACTTCATCACACTTGAACGCTTCTCTGGATTGTTTGTAATATATTTACAATAACAATAGTTCAGATACTCCGACTAATTTGTAATTCGTTTTGAGTAGTTGAAGGTGATTTACAGAAAGCCGTAAACTACATCTTGAGTTTACTGATCCCTTCCAGGAAGACGTAATTAGAACTTCGGATGACTTGACATTGCAGCATAAATGTAAACACATCACATTGTGCTGACATGCAGAATCTGATGAATGAGTGACTGTGTTGTAAGTTTGGTCGACGGGATATGACCAGAATTGAGAACTAGACCATATAACCCTCGTCTCTCTCCAGCAACCAGTGGATGTACGCAAAACTAACTATAAGGACCCATCCATAACCACAGCAGTAATGTCTTTGGCTACAAAAGTGAAAGATGAAGGCTAGAAGCTCCTAAGTGACATCGATTCCCCTTAGGTTACATACATACTGAAGGCAATCAGTAAGCATCATGTTAAATCCCTACCTTGTAACTCATACTTAGACAAAAAATTACCCCTGTTACATGCTCATTACACAAACTTGGTTTGTCAGCTAAGTAACCAAAGAAAATGCTTTCCCCTGAATAAATTTCATCTCCTGACATATTCAGATTTAAATAAATCAGTCTTCATATCCTTCTCTTCTTTGAAATTCAATATGAATTAGATCACTTCCATACCTCTTACAGCAGACTATTCAAATCTTCAACAACTTTCTTCTTCATTTCCTTAATATTTTATATCTATAGTTAGAACAGTAATCATGGAAATATGTTTCTAGGTAGACAGGAAGAATGGAATTTATGAAAGAGAACATTTTCTTCTTGCGATGGAATTAAGATTTATCTTATTTATCTGTTTTCTTTATTCTGATGTCAAAGCATGGAGAGAACTCTTAAAACTGAGGAGAAATAACGACACCAGTCAATATACTCATGATGAGCAATACTGCCTATAAATAAACTTGTATGGTGTACGAACTATAATTAAGCGAGAAATACACTGAGTTTCGGTAGCTAGTGTTTGTGTGTGTCTTGATGTGTGTATAAATGAAGAAAGAGGAAAAAAATAAGGGAAACAGGTGAACAATAAGCAACTGTGCATATGCATATATCTTTATCCATGTATACAGAACAGAAATAATGAAAACACAACAATCATTTGTATAATAATTCTATACAAAGAAGTTAATAAGTAGTAATGTAATTTACTTTGTTCATTTCCCTTGAGAGAAAAGTAAAATGAAAAAGGAAGTTTTCCTCTCTCTCTCTCTCTCTCTCTCTCTCTCTCTCTCTCGAAACAACCATCCAAGTGAGTGTTTTGCATAAGTTGGATAGAAAAATGTTGTTTTTCATTATATTCGGTTTAATAAAACTGATGTAACACAGTACAGAGTAGTTAATTAACTAGTTATTTAGTAATTCGGTCAATCGGATAATCACTTCAAGTTTATATACCCGTGTAACACTTTAACTTAATGGAGTTTCTTTCTCTTGCTTCATCACTATGTCTCCTACTACTTGTTGGAACAGTTTTCCACTCTCCTTTGATAAGTCTAAATGAAATAATGCAATTTTTCCCCACATAATGAAGAGCAAGAAGGAGAAAAGCTCAAATAATTCAGGTGCTGTTCTGTGTGTGGTTCAAACACTTTTACTGACTAAATTTAACAGGCGGATAGAAAGACTGAATAAATAATAAATATGAATTAAAGCCTTTTTTATGCTTTCCTCTTTCTGACTATTGCTTCAAAAACACTTTTTTAAAGTTGCCCGAGGACCTTTTGTTTATATGTCCGTTATTTAAGTGCATAGAAGTAGATAAAAACATATTAAACATATCACTGCACTAGTAGACTCATAGAGAAAAAGTTAACAGTATGCTACCACTTATAAGTTTCCAGACCGTAGATGTTACGAATTTCCTGAAATAATTTGAGCGTCGAGTCAGATGAAATCACTATAAATTATTTGAAATAATCCCAGTGTGTTTAAGAAAATATCAAATATTTTTCTCAACATTTCGCTGTGTAAGCCACAGCTTCTTCAGCAGTATTATTCGGATTTTATTAATCACTAGAATGTATGGTCAAAGAATTTTTACATAAATTGAAGTCGGTTTATTTGAAGGTCACTTGTCCATAGACATTTGTACCAGTAGAAATATGTATGATATCAATTCATGATCAACTCATAAAGACAAAGCTAATCCTTACAAACCAACTACAGAAAATCAATCTGATGCTCACTAGTGACTTGCTGCAGAATGGAGTTTCCTGGAGTTCTAGTGAGAAGTCGTGACCAGTGAGGTCCAATTAGATGTCACGTGTGAGGATGGGTGTCCCACTGACAACATTGGTTGGGGTCGCGCTAAATCACGAATTGGTAGAAGTTAGACTTCATGCACTGGCCATTGAATCGGGTTCCAGTGGCTGAATGGTATACGAGCTTGCCTTGTAACCGGATGATCCCGGGTTCAAATCCCAGTGGGTACGTACTTCCGATGACTCCCAAATTAGTATGATACAGCTATCTATTACTTCCTTGTTTTCAATGGTTCTCTAACATATCAATCCGTGATCAACTAAAACAAACCCAACTAATCCTTATAAACCAAATACAGAATAAAAATATGTAAGCAGATATATATATTTGTAATGACTAGTGTCAACTGTCATTGTGTACATTTGTTTGTATAAGTGTGTGTGTAAGTGTATGTTATTTGTCTTGTGGGAAAAAAGTAAATTCAAATGTGATAAACATGATAATATTTTTATACAGGCCAAAGGGGTTTATAGAGGTTTTTGTTGTTTTTTTCATCTGTCTTGCTTCATTAGAGTTTGCCGTACAGGCGATAAGTCTATCCATTCTCTCCCATTTACTGCATTCGGTGTGTATTAAAATATGCAAGGCTTCAGAGGTAAACCTTTCTTTATGTGAAGGAAAGCCTCTTCCAAGAATTTCGACAGTGTCGAAAACAATTTATGTAATTTTTCATTACATATTTTGATGATTAATAAAATCCAAATAATTCCATTGGAGTCTGCTACTACTTAGTTAAGAATTTCAAGTTATTAAGTTTGACGGAGAAATCACATGTAATGTGAGTTCTCAACAGAGTGAACCGATTGAAAAGCAAAAGGTATTATTCAAGTTAGTTTAAAATATAGTAAGACGGAATATCATTTTCCTAGGTATATGATGTTTCATTCAGTTAGGTTTTTTGAAGCCCAAATCAGCCTTCTTACTGTTTTATGCCTTATACTGTGCAAAAATATTTAACTTGAATTCCACCCTTCGCGAAAATATTCAGTAAAAATTTACAGTCCTTTGGTTTTTGGCGTTCTTACTTTCTCTAGGCTAGAGTGAGAGTAACAATTTCTGTCAAAGAAAACAATGAAAGCTTCTCAATCCAACCATACAGCTAAGAGAACACTGAAAACACCTATCTGGGCTACAAATATCTGTCGTTTCAAGAT